TAGTAAATCGAACTTTTATGAAACTTGATGGTAAGAACATTATCTGAGTTTGTATATAATTTTTTATTTTAAAATAATTCTAATTATTAAAAAATACAAATTTCAAGTTAGTAATGAGCATTTGTAAACAGATACATATTGTAAATAAAAAAGASAGGCATCTATACTTAGCTGTACTGTATATAGGCGTCGATTGTAGTTGCCTCTTCATTGAGCTGGTCACAAGGTCACTGTAATTAGGCACTAAAAGTTGTATTATGTTGTATACTTACCAACCAACTAGATACAATTTGTTACCTACCAGGAACTGTAGAAACCACCACCGAAATATTATAGATCGAAGCATTTTTTCTGCTTTATAAGTTGCGTCTACTAAACCTATCACACACAAAAAAATAAAAACAATACAATAAATKCGTATCTATTATTGTTTGCTGTCAGGCGGTTAATTAGTATTGCAGGGACAAAGTAGTGAAATATTTATTCGGTGTGAACTTATCTTGTGGTTAAGRCAAGTCGGTTTATTTACAGAAATAAATATCACTGTAAAATACTTGCATTAATTGGGCACGTRCCTATATATTTTAATTTTATATCGGCAATCGACGACTTAAATGTGTGAGTCAAAATGTTGAAGTTGGTTGTAGCTTTGTAAATGTAGAAGGTAATTGACTTATTGACTATTCAAGCAATTTATTTTGTAGGAAATAATAATAATGTATAACAATATTATTTACCTAMCATATAATATAAGGTATAAATAATAACCAATAGAAATTATCTACCAGGAGCACATGTACAATCAAGCATCGATTACTATTTTTTTATTTCTTCTAGTAGACATCATCTATGTAAATATTGTTTTTTATCATCATAATTTTTTTATTATTTGTTAATCTACTTCCATACCGTGCTACAACCTAATATTATACTATCTAGGCAGTAGGCAAGTAAGAAGGTAGCTTATCTATTTGTGTACAGACTACAAAGGTCGATCAATTATATTTGAGTTAATTAAATATTGTTATTATGTCGTGATATACAGTTGAATGTTCTCATWAGTGTTTTATCTTTATACCAAACCTCATTCCTTACCTATTGTGATTAAAGCTACCAAAACACAGTATAATTTGTTTATACCTACCTACCAGTTTTGAATTTGTTGTTTAATTGTTGTTTACTGCAAAACGTTGAAGTTGTAATATTTGGAAAACAGTATATTACCACTTTAGTTTCATTATGAAGGGAAATTTCAAGTATGTTTGCCGCTATTTTTCTAGAAGTTGTATAGATGTCACTACTGAAGTTAAAAATGCTCTAAATAATCAAAAACCAGTAATTGCATTAGAATCAGCTCTTATTACACATGGATTACCATACCCAAAAAATGTGGAGACTGCTTTGGAAATGGAACACATCATCAAGTCGCATGTAATTATTATAACTGAATAAAAACCAATAGCTTATTACCTACATTATATAGCCTATTTTGTTWTTCATATTTTTTCTATATAGAATATAATTCCGGCTACAATTGGTATAATTAACGGGAGGGTTAAAGCCGGTATGTGTCCTGAACAGATGGATTTTCTTGGGTTATCGGCTGAGAAAAAAACTGTCAAAGTTTCAAGGAGAGATTTCCCTTATGTGCTCAGCCAAGTAAATCCTAAAATAACTTTTATGTATATTTTTGAGTATGAAATTTCTTATTGAAACAAACTCTAATTACTGCATTGTAATAACTTTGACTCTAGGGATTAAATGGTGGCACCACAGTATCTGGCACATTAGTTATTGCTAATGCTTTGGGCATAAAATTCTTTGTTACTGGTATGTACTTCCCTACATTATTAATTCTAAACTTCAAAATTGGTAAATATGTACCAATATGTACATAGTACATATCACACACAATGTTGAAAAAAATATTATTATTAATTCATTTTTATTACATTCAGGTGGAATTGGCGGTGTTCATATTGATGGTCAAAATACCCTAGATATAAGTGCTGATTTATTAGAGTTGTCTAGATGTGCAATAATGGTTGTATCTGCTGGTATAAAATCTATACTTGATATAGGACGAACTTTAGAGTACCTTGTAAGTATTTAACATTTATGTAGTGTCATTTTGTTTTAGTTATGACAAACATATATAGGTACTTAACTTATTGTCTATTTAAATTTAAGGAAACCGTGGGTGTCTGTGTCGCTTCATATGATACAAATGGTGAATTTCCTGCATTTTATACTAAACAAAGTGGTTATCAGTCTGTGTGCAATGTAACTTCACCCTATGAAGCAGCTGGCCTTTTAGAAAATTGTCAAAATACGGGATCTGGTATTCTGTTAGCAGTTCCAATACTAGAAGAAAGAATAAAAAGTAACTATATTTTGTATTATGAACATTTTTATATAAAAATAGGGTACAATAATACAATAAGGCTAACAAGTAACATGATTTAACTTTTTAAAGAATCAGAAATTGACAAAGCAATAGAAAATGCTCGTCAGATGTGTGAAAAGCAAGGAATCGTGGGAAAAAATATTACTCCTTTTGTTCTGAATGAAGTTAGTCGACTAACAAAAGGACTTTCCATGGATACTAGTAACGAATTAGAAAATATGCTATTTGATTAAGCAGTTCATATATTTAATTATTCATACTTAATTATTATTGTTTTTAGACATATCTTTATTGAAGAATAACTCTTTGGTTGGAAGTAAAATTACACTGGAGTATTATTCAAAATTTTCGTCCATCCCAAAATCAGTTTTTGAAGTAAAAAAGGATCTAAAAAAATCTAAGAAATCTCCTGTACGTATATTTAACTTATACTTTTTCGTTAATGTTTTTAAATCATAAGTTTAATATTTTTGTTTTGAGATCTAGGTAGTAATTGGTGGTAGTAATGTAGACTATGTGCTTCAAGTTGATGAAGATTTAAAGGTTAGTTAAACTTATAAGTTATATCTTTATTGACAGGTAAATAATAGTTATAATTAGATATAAATTAATTCAAATAATTAAGTATGAAGCTTATTTAAAATAGATATTTATGATACTATTTGWAAATTATTATCTACCTATGTGTCAAAATTAGTAGAATAATAGTATCTATATCATATAATCAAGAAAAATGAAGGATAGGTATTTTAGATTAAGATAAAAAACAATATTGATAAATCATTATTTTAATAATAATATTAATAATAATTATAATAGCTCTAGGAATGCTTAAAAAATAATAGTACAAAGTTTACAACATTTATTATACAACAAACATTTTAACATTTTATTTTTTATTAATAACAAATAAAACATACCTAACCACGATTTCGCTAGTACAGTCAAACTTTKACATACATTTTCATGATTGTATTAAAGACAATTGGAAAGCAACAAGTCCATGACACAAGAAAATAGGCTATACATAATTAGAATTAACAGTATTATAAAATTTAGCTCAACTGGAAAACTAAAACATTTAAGATAAGAAGTATAACTATTTTATAATAAATTAGAAATAAGTAGGTTGTAATGATCTTGTTTTAGATTTTCAACAATCAAATACTTATAATAATTAGGAAATTAGGTTTAATAATTAAATAYCTATATAAATTTAACTGCAAATTAGAGTTTCGAGTTAATTTACTTGTTAGCACATACATAGTATATTGAAATTTGAAAGTAAGTACCCAATCATAATTTTAAAGGAAGTAAAATTGTTTAAAATTTTGACGAGGTAGTTAATCTTTTTAAAAATTGTTATTTTAACATTTTTGTATCTATTCAATTTAACTTATTGAGGTATCCCACTTTGAGCTACTCGAATTAAACTTTTTTCGAGCTTTTAGATCTTTTCTTATGTGTTCTATAGGGGATTATATAGGTATATTATTATCTAAATAGACTTGTTGTATAATCTTATACCACAGGAATTTATGAATAAATTAATTGATAACAAAACAAAAAGAATTTAATTTTTAATTTAGTTAAAATGTAAAATAAACTTGTCACCAGAGGCATGTAAAAACCATATTCATAATATGGCTTTAATATATTTAAGGTTTAATGAGAGTATATAATTATTTTTTATTATATTTTATTTGAGTTTATAAATTCTTATAGGTAATAAATTTTACGTAGGACATTTTCCTTTTAAGAAGTAGGACTAAAAAAGTAATACTGTACTTATATTTCTTTAAACACTTTAACAAATATTTGAATTCCTATAGATTATCTGCTTAAATGTTTTGCTAGTTATATTTCTCAAAATTGTGTAATATTAAAACTTCTGAGTTCACAAAAAATAATTTTGAATGAAAAACATATTCGTATTATGTTTATAGATAGTAGGAAAAATTGTATGTGTTTTTGAATCACAATATTAGATAAAACACAGAAGTTTGGCTCTTTCAATCTTTAGTTTAATAGTTGGAAATAAAATATGTTTTACTATAATTTATTTTTATATAAATTATTTAAGGAGTATCAAATTATATTTTACTTACAAAAGTTGACTTTTTTTAAATCGATCGATATAATAATATGTCACTATCAMAAAAAGTTTAGGCAGAATATAATGATTCAATTAATGATGTAATAGAGATTGAAGAAAAAAAAAATATTAAATTTGAAATAGGTATCCACAAAATAAGATATTGAGGTAATGAAAATCCTTCGAGCACAATCTATAGATGATTCATAAAATTAATTCAACATAACCATACTCATGTTTTTATAAGTTGATTTTTAATCATTATACATTTTTTTTTATTAATTATTATTGTTATACTTGATCAATTTATTGACATAGCACCATGTAATCTACTCCAATCACATTTATGCCTTTCAGTTATTCAGTTAATTAGTAATTTCGATGTTTCAAATTATTTGTCTGTGTACTTGTATAATGACATTGTAATAAAAAAATTTTTTTTTATTCTTCATTTTGAAATTTATTTTTATAATATTCGTTTTTGTTCTTTTTGAATTAATTTAATATGTAGGTATCACGTAAAAAATGTAACTTCCAATTTTAATAATATTTTTTTTGTTTAATAAATTGTATGCGGTTTTGGTGTCGCCAACAATGGAAATTTTTGGTTACTGTCAATCACTCGAAACCAAGCGGCTACGCATCTTCGTAGTCATATTTGATTCTTATGTCTGGTGGTTAGTAGTCGATTTACATCTCTTAACTCGTGAAGTTCGTAGTTACTCTTACTAGATGAGCCTGTCAATCGTTTGTCATCACACAATAATAACGCACTATGGCTATTAGTGTCTGATTCGTTGCCGTCCGTGTTCGAGGACTTTACCCTGAATGTCGCTTCTATTGAACGACCTTTTAGAAGTGGTTTCACTGCATCTAAACTTCCTTCTGAAATTAAAATTAAAATTTATTTAAAATACTTTTGATACATCTAATGTTTTTCTAAAATTTTGGGTAAAATTGAAAGTTAAAATAAAACTACTTTATTTTTGTTACTGTTTTAAATAGTCCTAACATAAAATTTATAATGAAAAATGAATTGTAAAAAAAAAAAAAAATGAATACTTTTGAAACAATATAATATCATCGTTCAGTATATTATAAAAGTTATTTTAACTGGAGTATTATCGATAAAATAAAATGGTTATTTTTGTAAAGTATAATACACAGCTAGATATAATTGACATTCAGAAATATGTTACTAACCTATCTGACTGTCTTGTCTCATAGGAGTAGATACACGTACTACGCTACCATTATGTTCAACTTTTTGTAACAACTTCCCTGTAGCTTGTTGGGGTACATTGACTAATTCTAGTCGAGCTGTATCTCCATGAAGTATTTTTATTTTTTGTATCATTTCTCGTATTTCGTACCTGTAAAAATAATCATTTTAATCATATATTTAAACAAAACAAAATTTATGATGAGTTTCTCAAAAATTTTTTTTATTTTTTTTTTTGAAAATTTCTGGAATAAATCACTAAATATTTGAATATTTCTAATTTAAATAAGATACATTAAGTTCAATTTATGTTCTTGTCTAATCTATTTGACTGTATTATATTTTATAGAATGTATATCACTATAGCCATTATAAGATGTTTAGAGTATTTTTACTAATTAATTAATCGATACCTCAGTACGGGATAAGATAAAAAATAAAAAAAACTGTAGAAATTAGAAATATTTAAATGTATTAAAAGTATAAAATAAATAAATACTTAAAAAGGTAGGTTTTTAATTCTTGTTTAATACATTTTTGTTCTAAATGATTCAACATTTCTGGAAATATTTATCAAGCCGTTTATTTTTATTCACAAACTGTTTATATAGATTCATAATTGTAAGACTAATTTCTTTTAAATTTATTTCGTGAAATATATATCTCAAAATCAATGGCAGCGACCGCATTATTGGAAAACTCAATAGGTCAATATACGCTCATTTAAATACAAAATAAACAAATGCTATTTAGAAATTGAATAAGACGATGTTGTGTTCGTAGAGAAGTGTGATGAATAATGTATACACGTATGTACAGATGTAAAGGCTGACGATATTCATCAATATTCAGGATATTTCCTTGTTTAATCTATATAATATTACGGGTGCAGAGATCGTATTGATCCTTTCGGAATAAAATACTACAATACTCGTCTAGGTCCAGTTTACCTTAAAATGCCTAGAAAACACAGTTTCAAAAATGATATGACACAGTAACCGAGGACGAACAGGACATCGGCACTTCTACGTATCCATGCCATCAGCGCTCGTTCGCATCCGGGGTAGTAGTACCGGTATGAATTGAGCCGGCACTTGATGGGCATCTCTTCCATATTGTCGTGTTCTTCCGCCTGGACCGTGGTCCATACAGTAGTAGTTGTTGTCTGTGGCTGCCAGTAGTCCCTTCGGAATGGCGACGCCACTGCTTCTGGTTTATGGTAGCAGCAGCTATCCGGCAGCACTGTCGTATAATCGACAAAGTGTTCAACTGGAATGCAATAATAACAATAATAAAAAAATTGCATTTATATTCAACAATTTGCCACTGAGTATATTTTTCCGAACGATGATATTTATTCATGATATTATAACTAATACTATACCCTTATTATTGTATTACACGGGTTACATCAATTAATAATATGTTATACTACAGGTACAACTCATGTAGGAAATAATAAAAATGATGCGACATTGTTTTCTAAATAGGTCCAATAACTAATAAGGTTTGTTGTAAACTGACAAAGTGACAAATGTACCTACGGTGTGCTAAATAGCTTTTCGTTAAATTAGTGTTGACCAAACTAAGTAATAGGTACTATAACATATAGTCGCAAAATGGTTGGAACTTTGAAGTTGACCTCTGACAGTAAGTTTTCATGTGTATATTTTCAAAATCTCAATTTAATGTGTAATATGGAGGGACAGCAAGGACTGAATTACCTACTTAACAAAATTTTATACCTGCATTTTGTTCGCGATTTAATTAAATTATCTATTTGTATTACATATTTCTGTTCGTTTTCAATAAAATTATATACTTMAAATATTTTACTATTGGCATAATAAAATACTATCACTTTTTTTCGAAATCTGTACGGTCGGTATATTGGTAATCAAGCACTACTATTAACARTATTAATTATTATCTAAGAATGAAATACATGCTACCTATCTTACATTTTTGAGTGGTTGTCACTAGAACACATTTTCGGTATTTAATAAAAATAGGCTTAAGATTAATTATTTTTTTATTACATAAACATATACAATAAATTATAATTATCAAAAAAATAAATATATTTGAGTAGGTACATTGTAACAAAAATCATTTTAATTTTAACTTCAATATTATAGAATATTATTGTAGTTTGATTCTTAGTTGTTCCTTATGTATAATGTTTGGTATCTATTATAATTTTTAATATTTGTAATTATATTAATATTTCCAAGACCAAAATATTATTAAAAATATTTTCGCAAAGTTTATAAGTAGGTATTTGTTTATACTAATAAGTTGAAACTAGAATAATACGCGTTGAAAAATTGCATAATTTTAAGCAGTATTACTAGAAAAAAGATTTAATCTTTTAAATTTTAAAATGTTCTAGATATTTTTTAAAATTTATAACCATAATCCACGTACTTTTAACTATAATTTATACATTTTWGATTATAATAATCGTATTTTACATTGTAATTTTATTGTAGTTTCTGGTACTTGTATTTAACTATTATACTTATACTTATATCACCTTTACGGCTTTACGTAACATATTAGTTCGAATAATTAGTTTGACTTTTAAAAATAATTTTAGATATGATATATTTAATAGTATTTTTAAAGAAACACTAATTATTCCATTGTTAAATTGACAACAGAAAAATAACTAGGTACCTACTACCTACCTATTATTCTATTACTAATAGATATTAGTTATTTTAATGACCTAGTCCTTTTTTTATTAAAAATTACAATGATACTGTCTAACATAAATGCTATATTTTGATCTTCTTTTTCTTAAAATGTTGCTTACGTAGCTTCAAGTCTYCAATTATAATTTTTACCTTATCTTATCTAACCTAATTTTTATTTTGGAGGAGAAAAGAATTAGTTAATAATTTATTATAAATTTTAAATTTCTTTAAAAGAAAAAGAAAAATAGATATTATGGTTGTATAAAACACGACAATAATTTTCAATAAGTTATTCTCAAAGTGATTATAAATATTTAATTTTCTTTTTTTTACACGGAAGCATTGATTTTCGTTAAATTTTTATAAATTTTTATGTTGTAATGCTACGTTGTATGTATGATAATGGCATTTGCGTTATATCTACAATTCTGCACAAAAAGATTAAATTATGTCTATTGTTAGATTTTAATGTATTTTCACGGTAATTTTTGTTTTAAGTCCATCATAGGTCATATCGTAATTTAATTTCAACTCATTTTAGTCTAAAATATTGTTGTGGTATTGTACTTCGTATAAATTAGTTTTAAAATAAATTCAAGCTCTATCTGGTAATTAAATTTGGTTGACGATCTATTGATTTTTTTTCTGGATATYTTGTCATTTTTATTGAATTTTGTGATGATTGTCTATCGATTAATGAATCGCAGCTACTTTATCTAAAATTAAATTATTCCATCGCAATTGCATAATAAATATTTAATATTTATTTATATCCATATACCTAATATGCGTTATAATTTGTATATATTATATTGGTTGTATCTATATGTTTTGGATAAAATATCGAAGCTTTTGACTTGATGAATATTTATCTTCTTTATACTTCCATATAGGTTGGAAATTGATGAGAGACGATATAAATAACAGATAATATTTTAAATGGTTCAATAATGATTTACATTAGGTGTATACCGTTTACGATATTATTAAACAAACCTTTTAATTTTTTTTTTATGGTTAGGGCTTCGACAACTGAGGTCATTAGCCTGGGGAACTGTAGGGGAAGGAACTGTAAGGTTAAAACCTTTTAATTATATTTTGTATATTTTGGGTTAATCAATTTCGGTTATTTTGATATATTACAGAAAACAATAAACCTATAAAGTACTAAATTATTAACGTTAAAATAAATTTTAATCATAAATAAATGTCAACTAGTGTAGGTATCTATAATTTTAACACACTTAATATTATTAATTTGATTTTTACTTATACAATTTTGTATTAAAATGTTAATTATTTGATGATTTAATACATATTTTGTTATTAATTTAAGTATGTTCTGCTATTTTTATTCAAAAATCTCATATTTTTTAAAAATTATATTGTTTAACATTTAAATTAGGTACCTGTAATAAAATATCTAATATTTAGAATGTTTAATAACATATCCGTTAGTAGAAATATTTGAAAACTTTATTGACATTTTTTTACAAGCTATATTATTATTTATAGATACACAAYGGTCTTATTATATTATGATTGGCACTATTGTATGTTATAAATTGTAATTTTTTTATTGTGATTTTTTTCTGAGAATGTATAGTYTAGTATTACAATATCTTGATGAGGATTCTATTTAAACATAGTTTTTAGGAAAATAATTTTTAATTTTTCTATTTTTTCCCCGATTTTGAGTCTWTGTGTGTGGTGAATCATTACCCTTATAATGTATTACTTCCACTAATATGTTATTGTACTTTTCATTTTTTTAAATTTAATATTTTTTTAACATTGAAACAGGCATGGTATTGATAAATTAAGTTCTCAATAATTGTTATAGCTTTCAAAAGAAAAATTGAATGAAAATACATATTATAATTTCTTAAAATTATTAACTTTTTAATTTAAGAGCTTAAAATAATATTATTATATCTAAAATAAAATAATTGTCATGTATGTATACAAATACATTTGTTATACATCATATGATGATATGCCAATGGTTTTAAAATATTATTTAAAGAAAGAAAATTAATTATCATTGAATTACAATTATGTTATACTCTATATATTTCTGCAACGAGTATGACTTACAGCCTTCAAGGAAGTTCGAAGATATAGTCTACAGTCTATTACGTGGCTGTATGCAATAACTGTTGAATAATTAAGCCTGTATATTCCGGTATCCATTTATAACACAAGAGACATTGTAATTAATAACGTAGCTTAACTAGAATTTCTAACGAGATCTAGAATCATAAATCTCTTACAGAACTTAGGTTTTTGAAAATGTGTCATATATTATTTTCGTAATTWTGTTTTTATTATTTAAAGAGTTGCAGAAAAAATTACAATTCTTATATATTATATAAACATGTATAGATATAGTTATTTTATACTTTAATGTATACAATTATGATTTTTAAYGTAAATTATTAAATTAACTTAGTTGTATATAAGTACCCATGAAAAGTAATAAAGTGATATCGGAATTACGATTTTTAGGGATCGCAATGATTGTATATTTTTTTATATTTTGATRCCTACGTATAACAACGTGTAAAGTAGATGCTCAGTTGCTAAAAATGTATTTGAGATTTAACCTAAAATATTAAAATGTGTTTCATTTATCATGTATAATATCGATACCGATTTGTGAACATTTGAGTGTTGTTTTGGTTAAAATAACTGACATTCTTGCTGAAAGGCTGGATCGCGTGAATAGATGGCATCAGTAAGGGGTCAGTTTAGTGACACACAAAATTGATCGGGTCAAAAACGCGTTCGTAATTTTATTATCATCTTATTCGGAATTTTGGAGTCTAGAATATTATTTAAGTGTAAATAATTCATCATTGTAATAATTTATTATCAAACAAAAATAAGTATACCTACTCACACACACACAATAATTTGTGAACTTGGTGTGACCTAATGTGGCATGGCCTATAATAATTTGGAAGGGGTGGGAGATTACCAACGGACGTTGACGGCTTCGATTTTTCTATATATGTATGTAACATTATATATTCGACGCATTTTGTGCCTCCCACTGAATCTAATTAAATCATGACACAAAACAAGTTTAGTGACGTATAGAAAATACACTATGTAAAATCTACCTACMTACTGCTACAAAAAATCTACAGTGCAGTCGTTCAAAAATATTATACATAGTATGTAGTTTGACCGTATGTATCCATATTGAGCGTATAGTTGAACTTAGAGAGGCGGTCATGTATTAAAACTAGAGGTTATTTTTAAAGAGTGGTGAATCTTAATATATGGTTCTATTGTCTTAGTATAATATTTTTTAATTATATCTAATTTAAAAACCATGAGATAAAATAATTAAAATGAACAGAAAATGTTGACAAATCTTAAACATGTCATTTTGTTTTGCAGGGTTTCTGTATAGGTTCTCTAAGGAAATATTTTTTTTATATATACCGCCTTATAGTATCCCAAGGTTCTAAGCCACGTAATATTTTTTACGATCTAACTGGTAACTGGTAACTGGTATGAATGTATGGTAATTAATGTAACTAATAAATTAAATCATAGCCGGCGTTTGGTGGTGACTCCACTGTGTAGCGTACATAAATATCTGGCTATACCCAGGTGCCTAACTCGGTGAATGTGATGGATTCGGGCGCGAAACAACGAAAAATAATATTATGAAACACTCACCGGCAACTTGCACGGTGACGTTGAAAAAGTCGGGCGGCCCGTTGACGCCGCAACACTCGTGGTCGCGCTGTAGGTCGTCCCAGACGGCCGTGAACTGCCGATCGTGGCCGTAGTCGACGGCCAACCGGTCCCGGAGCGCCGGTTTCAGCCGGGCCACCATCTTGTCGTACCTGTACACCCAGTAGACGCCCAGAACGGCGTCGCCGACCAGGAGGCCGAGCAGCAGCAGCCAGTAGACGTTGAGCAGCCGCTCGCTGAGCGACCGGGCGCCCAGGAAGCCGACGATCTGCAGCACGGTGCACTGGACGAACAGCGCGGCGTACACGTACAGCAGGCTGGGATGGCACAGGTCCAGGCCGGGCACCAGGTGCCGCCGCTGGTCGGCCACCACCAGCTGGTAGGCGATCACCACGAAGCACACGACGCACACCATGAGCACGGTGTTGCACGTGTATATCCAGATACGGTAGTAGCGCATTGCCCGGTGTGCCGGTGAATGGGATACCGTCATCCGAACGGTAAAGCACTCGAATACGTCAGYGGCCAATAAGTGGTGCTGGATCAGCATAACAGGCATCATGGGGGTAACTTCATCCGCTCTATGTCGAAATAACTGCTGCCACCGCTGTAAACCAACAACAGTAGAAATATAACTATACCGCGTTATAATATATGACAATTTTTTTTYTTCAATAATTTAAAGCCTCAAAAACTAAGGTTATTAGCTTGCATATTTAAATATTACTTCTACATTAAGGTATACAATTTACAATACATTTTACAATATTWCAATATAATTATTTTTGATATGTGCAATGTAGAAAAGGAAAAAATATCAATGAATTAAATATAAAATTATACAGTTTGGTTATTTTTAGAAAGGTTAAAATATTGTTAGAATTTTCATATTCTGGTCCAAGTGCTTCATAAAGGTGTTCTGGAATGTTTAAGGAGGTTCTGGAGAGGTTCTGGAGAGGTTCTGGTATCAGCAAAAATTGCGGTAGTGTAGAAGTACGTGTTTAATGGTTAGAGCTTCACCGCAGGTTAAACATTGAACGGGATCTTCGTGTCTCATAAGAAAACTGCGTGTAAGCCACGTATGGCCGATTCTGAGTCTGTTATTTATGACTTCATAATATAACAATTATTATGGGCATTGGTTACGACCATGACGGTGGTGGTGTATAGCCACGATTAATTGTTCTAAAAATAGGAGAGGCAATAATTAACCTTATAGAATTTTAACAATTTATACAAATTATACCCAATATGTACACAGTTAGAGTCATATATATATATATATATGATAGGTTAGGTTAGGTATAATATATATACATATATGACTAGCTGTGTTTGACACAGACACGAAGTTGGTTATATTTTTCCCCTCCAATAACTGGATACGCCTCAGGATTTGACGAGACCTCCCCCGACTTTATTCCTTGACCCACGAGACTGTACTGTTAGTCATTAATTCAAAACGTCATTTAATACTAGGTATATATACATCATACACCACTATAGTATCAAAAATGATATCATAATTATATTTTATAAATTCGTTTAAAATGCTTAAACATTAAAATTTCAAAAACAGCACACACGGGGCCCTGAGTRTTACCTTTATATGTTTGACAATATTTGACTTAGAAAACGTGCTCTCAATCAAAATGATAAGGATATTTAAATTTTTAGTTCACAAATGTGCCGCGATTTAAGTGCAATTTCTACGAAACTACGATAATCCGTGTCCGACTCAGCTCATCTATTTTTATCGTGTATCCCGTATACATGATTAAACCACTATATAATAGTAATATAGTGACGTAATACACCTGSAGAGCACCTAACTCGTCAGTCGTTACCCACTACGTCGAGCATACTCTAAGCTGTTGCGACGTTACAGTACTCATCGTTTARTTATATATTAACGTTCCGAAAAAAAGTATTTTCATATGTTGAGTAATTTTAATGACGAGATAATTATTCTGTGACTTGAACTAATCTTAAAAAATACTACGTTTACGAAGTTCYACTTTGAAGTAAGCATGATAGCAAAAAATTAAACTTATACAATGGCCTTACTCAAAGTTTTAAAAACAATATTAAAATATATTGAACTACTTTTATATGATGGCATTAGAGGGACTTTATGCTGAAATCTCAGTTAATATAATATCGAGACTCAAATTGTGTTAAATATTACGTTCGATATTTTACAAAGAATATAGGTATAACTAATAAAAGAAATAAACATTCTTCGCATGTTTCTTAGTTTTGCACTGTTTGAGAAGGGCTTAGTGGAGGTTGGGTTTACTATCATATTAAATTTTGTACGAGACTTTTATTGCATATGAAAGACGATTCTGAGCAGAATTCAATTTATCTACGCGATTGTTTACACTATCGTCTTCATACTTTAAGTGTAGTTAATAGAAAAATAAACTCGATAAAAGATTCTCGATGTGTGAACATATCATCGTTAGAAAAATATTATAGTGACAGTAATAAAATTACAAATTGTATCGATATGTTAGAAATTTGCATTTTTGCACTTTTTAAATACCATCGTTAAATTGTGTTCTATAGTAAGAGTCTGCAGATAATTTTTGGATTTTGTGCTGTTAAGTGAAAAAAATACTATGTATTTATGTCATATTGTTAGTTTTATTTTACAATCATAATATACAATGTGATCTAAATCAGTTTGTTTCCGTAAATTGTATTACATTTTTCTATATTTCACAAATTTCACCACTTTTTAATAGATACTTAAAAACATACCTAAGTATTTTTTTGAAAATTATAAACTAGTGATTTAAAAAATAATACTTACTGTTTTATAATTATAAATATTGTTTCRGTTAAATTGTAATAATTGAATCAATAATTTAGTAATTAAAAGCATTAATATTTAAATTTAAATTTGGAATAATGTAATTTTATCAATTTGTTTATGTTCTTTAGTTATTAATTTATTAAGTGTTAAGACATTATTTTAATCTCATTAATTTAATTTGTTTCACCGAAAATTATAACGTTAATGAATAATGGTAAGTTTAATTGATTCCCAAAACCAATTGCTTTTAGCATCATAATATTGATGAATAATTGCTTCTTATACAAGAATAATCAGAAATCTTTATTTGCAAATAAACATAATGGGTTATACTATTCAATTCAAATTAGTTACAATTCATTAAATATTATGATGTATATCATTTTTTAAATCATGTTGTGTTTACGAGTATGTCTTAAATATGTTTGTAAATATGACATTAATATAGTGATTAAAATAACATTTWAACTTATTTTGTAGATTAAAATTATAGTATATAATAACTGGTACTTAAGTATAATATAACTATGTAACTATTTTATTTTGTAGTTACCATTGAAATCTAATTTTGAATTATTTTTTTACAYACACTTTAAAATTTTTATTTTAGATTCTTTTCAATTTATGACAAATGTAGGTTTGTATAGTCATAGTAATTAATATTTTAATTAGTCATTGCTTGAATGAATAAAAAAAAGATTTTCAATTAAGATTAAATATTAACATATGACATATTACTTTAAACGTTTTATCAAAACGTTAATTCATTAGATTAATTTAGTAAAATTATTAAGTAGATTTCTATCATAATTAAACGTATAAAATCAACTTTATAAGCTATATTGAATATTTTCTTGGCTCATTGCCTAAATGCCTAATATTCATAAATGTCTTATAAATGTCAAAACAGAAGCACTAAGTTTGTTTTAAGCGTGTAATTTCGAAATATCATATTTTACTTTTAGAAAATACCTAACTATTTCTCAAGTCTTGGCAAGTTGAACATAATGTTTATGTAATAAATAATATAATTATTATATATAAATTTAATTAATAACGTTAACAAATACGTCATATTAAAACATCATTTTTAATTTGTACTTTAATARTTAATGTTGAAAAACTTTTAAAATGGATAAATTTTGGTTGTGATTGAGAAAGAAACTTGTTACATATATTAAATTGGCTGGGCTCGCTGATAAAATTATCTACACAGGAGAGCAGTCATGTAAATAGATCACCCGATAGGTGGGGGAAGGGGGCTACAGCTTATTCGCCAATCGTTTTTATGCAATTTTCCGTGCATGATATTTAAGGTAAATGTCAAATTTAATCTCAGATAAAAGTAAGCCATACTAAAGAATGATGATTTAGCTCACATATTTGTTAATGGAGCTTTTTAAATATTCAATTTAGTTTAATATTTTCATGCGTTTATTTATTGTTTTTTATTCATGTATTTTTCAGAAATATATTTTTAAATTTAATTCTTTTAAATACCTTTCTAATATAAGGCAGATAATAAAATTATATTTCAAACTTCAAATAAGGTTACTGAAAAATGACTTAAAACGTGTATGCGCTTAACCAGCGTAATACTTATATTTCTACGCGTATGTTGCCTGTGGTACCTTTTGGTTAACGGTTGATTAAAATTACAGGGAATATTAAATAATCCATTAAGGAGACTACACACTGCTCCGTGAACAGTGAACCGTATTTTCCGAAAAAAAAATTACCCGCAATTTCTCAAAATTATATATTTTAACATTTTTGTGGTGAAGTTGGGAACTTAATGGTTAATGGTTACTGGTTTCTTGTTATCACAATAAAACAATCACATAATCACAGATATATAAAAATACTGGATAGTTGACTTCTAAATCGTCCATACGTACAAAATAATGTCTCCAACAAAATGGCCGTCAATCGTTATCTTAGACGTGACTRTTTACCACAGACTTCTATAGAAGTCTGTGCTGTTTACAAATTTAAATTATGTGATAAGTGATAAGACACAATTTTGGAGGGCTATAATATTTTAAATTTTGTTGGGACGTAAGATTTAAGAACATTTTTTTCCGAATAATATTTATCTGGAACTATTTGGTTGGAGCTAAACTTCGAATTCTTTTATTATTTATATATACAATTTAATATTTTAATATAATATTTTATTGTAATCATGTAATTACATAGAACAATATGATAATCGCCAGCTATTTATAACTATTAAGCGTCTCTATATGAAACTTGATGAATCTTAATAATAATAATAAGATAGACCCCATAAATTAGTTTTAATTGCATTACTTATACAGAAATATTTAAGCATAAGATTATATTATAATTTGGTAAAATGTATTTTACCGATATGTATAGTAATTTAATTTTGATAAACCAAGGAATGTAGTTATGTTGAAAAATCTAATTTAAAATTTGTTTTAATTTTATTAAGATTGTWCTGATTAAATAAAGCACTTGATCATTTTTTTTTTTTTTAATTGTTATACTTTATTAGAAATTATATCCCTCGGTATACTGGTATTTCTGTTACTATAGATATATTTTGACTCACATATTTATCTTTGAAGCTGTACTTATCTTCAAGAACACATGCAAAATAATTGATGACAATTTTTCTTGCATTAACCATACATAAAAACTTAACTCCACCCATAACCTGTATAAAATAATAATTGTTTTTAAAGTTATATATKTGTAAACTATTTATTATAACACCATTCTTCAATTGTTTATCAATAATATAAAACATAAATATTCATCTCTTAGATAAGGATGGCTGCCATTTTACTGGCTACAATAATAATGTCAATAATAATTGTTCTGTGATAATACCGAAGTCGGCTATCCAGTATTTTTATATATCTGTGCACATAATAACATTTCAGATTTTTGTTTGATAACTTTTCATTACCATTAATYATATAATTGTAAACATTTAATTTGAGTAGGGTAGATTCTATTTCTGGTACTTACAATATAACATGGTATTCACTTATAACCATTGTGGTTAACCGCTAAATAACAATAAGATTCAACCAATCACAGAGTAGATTTGTTTTCCCGGAAAAATTTTTGCTCTTTTATGAGTTTTTATTTTGTTTTAAYGTTTGACGAATATAAATCGGGTTATATAAACCTGGGTTTTAGTTATTTATTTATTCTGATTTTTTTTATTCAATTTGTTAAAACGTTGCTTAACTATAAAGTGTAAGTAGTTATATTGCCTTTCCTAATACGGTTGTATTTTGTAAATTGTTTTCGAATTAYGAGCACCGATATTAAGTTATTGGATTGAAGAAAATTAGAAATACTGAGTGGTAAGTATTGATAATTATAACACATTTATTTATATCGTACATAATAGTGAGATTTCGTATTGCATTGGACCTTAACACAAAACAGATCATATAATATTTAGGTTGAATAAAATACTAAATTTTGTGTAAATAATGACGAATAGTTTAAGCCTTTAAAAATATTGTATCTATAGTTATATTATGTTCACTAAAGTGCAGTGAATGGTTTTTTTGTTTGTTTTGATATTGACGGTWAACAGATTAAATATAATTGGCAACAGTACCTATTTATGTTAGAAGTTTCGGTGTTGCGGTTGTATGACAAAGTTAACTGAATTAAAATTTAGTGAATCAAAAAGTACATAAAAATAATTCTTAGAAGTTTGATTTTCTGTACACTTTTATAAAATTAGATTATCATACATACTTACATCAGTATAATAATACGATTGTGTTATTAATACTGTATACAGTGTATAACCAAATGTTAGTGGTGACTGATGATTAGTATTTTGTTTGTTTTTCTGTTTAATATATATTGTTTTGTATGGTAAWTTCTCATTTTACATTGATATTACTTAATAAAACTCATTGACCGGTCATTAAATATTATAGTTTTTGTATCGTATAAATTTTAATACCAAATTTGATACAATAAAACGTTGGTAGTATAATTCTAAAATTATTTTTTGATCGTAATGATTTAATAATACTTCTTTCATTAATTATAGACTTAATATAAATCCTTGTTCTAGAATTTTCTTTATACACATTAAAATTGGTGTTCTAAAATCATATGTATTTTTCAATCTGACTGTTATTATTAAGGTTTTGTAATTTTAACAATTGTTCGATGGACACAGTATAGTTATTACTTTATTAGGAAGTATATGTTTTTACCATTGTAATTCTTGTCTTTTTAATTATGTGTAATGACATTATAAAATGTTATTAATACATTTATTTTTTTAATGCTGCTTTAATAGTCTTGGAACTAATTTATAAAAGATTATTTTCAATGAAAATAATGCATGATACATTAGAATAATATTATTTTATGTGTTATTAATTTTGTAGTTTGTTGTTTAAAAAAAAAAAATATATTGTATTAATATGTGTAAGTGAGTCGATGATTGTAGAAACGACACGAGTTAGTTCTTGTAAACTTTTGATAGCTTATAAAATCTGTATTATATCAATAATATTGGGAAAAATCAAAAAAATTAAATGAAAAATTAATGATTATTATTARGACTTATCATTTTCTGATTATATCATTTCTATGTAAAAATAATAAAATATATGATTGTCGTTGACTTTAAAAGTTTCCGATTCGTGACGTTTCACAATTCAATGTAAATTTTTTTCTTTTACAATCTTTAGATTGGTTAAGGTTGGCATGTATACTTATAGAATAAATGTATCAACAGGCTTAGTTTCTATTTTAATAGCAATCATTCGGTCATTGTAGTGAACAATTTCTACTACTTTTTTCCCCATTTCTTTGTTCAGTATGAAACCAACTCCTGTTACTCTCTGGTCATTTCCGCTAAATATAATTCTGTAATTATCTGACCAAAAATCTCCTTTACCTGTCTTTTTTAGTTCACTTATTCCTATTATATCAATTTTAAGTCTTTCTATTTCAATTTTTAGGTTCTCCAATTCACCACAGATCTCTAAAGACCTTACATTCCACGTTGCTATTCTTCTTTTTCTTACTTTGTTCTTCTCCTTTAATGAATACTTAGTAGCATTAATCCCCACTCGGAGATCCAAAGGGGGACTATTTTACCTCAGGAATTTTTTTTATTCTACTGTATCCATCATGTCATTTTCCTCAGGATGTATAATGCGGTAGTTTCCTCTTGCTTTCTGCATCGCAGTTGGTGAGCCAGCTTCTAAGCTATCTTCAAGCTGTCATCACAAAATCCTTCCATTGCCGTTAGATCCTTTGTGAAAATCACCAATGGCCAGTAGTAGCGGTTACTGCTGCCCTCCGCTATCTCCTTTTAATCGCCTGCTTTTACGATAAGCAAGAGTTACTGTGACTTTATTATAACCCTAGGCCACAGGGGTGTAACTATGTAAATATAGCAAATAAATTATTTATTAAATACAGAGCACAATCAATTTTATTTTAAATTACAGGTTTAAACATTACTATATAAGTTGGTACATTATTATTCAATGTATTATAGGTATTAAATTAAACAATCAAAATTTGTCACACAAATTTATATTCATTATTTATTTTTCAATGGTTGGCCAGTTAATAATTGTATTCTAAAAGGATTTGTCGGTTTCAATAAGAGAATTAATTGGTAACATTCATTTTAATATTTTAATATTGATATAGTTCTACGTGGATTGTGGATTATTCTAGATATCCTCAAATGTCAACCAGAAATTACGTATATTTAAACTTTTTATATTTCCGTTAGATGTTACCATCCTTTACAAAAATAGTGTTGAAAAGAATGATACATTGAAAGAAAMTTTTTCTCACGTGGTACTGATCGTTTGAAGTTTAAACCTAATCGCATGCTTTCTTACAATATTTACTTCATCATAATTTAAAATTAAGAATGTTTAAGTATGTTATAAGCAGGACTTCGATGTTTGAACTTGTTTTTATGATTTGGTTGTAAATTATCAACATTTAATATTTGTGTATTGTATAGAATCAGTACATTTTTCTCAATAATTATGTTTAATCATATCAAAGTCTCTATTACAGTCTAAAAATGATTGATTTAGAATCGGGTAATTATGTTCCACTGTTTCAAAATATCTAACTATATCAACCAAATTCGGATAAAAACGGAATGTGTTTATTTAAATAACATCAAATAATATTCCTTATCAGCTTAATACTCGTTTGAATTGAATTTAAGAATAAACACAAGGATCGAAATTTAAAAGATACCGTTGAATGTTAAAACGGCACAAGTCATTGACTAAAGACAATTCCGCTATCAACCAGATTTACCGATAAATATTTTATTGGTAAAAATTGCACCTATTAGTCAAGTAATTTTTGCGTCCAATATATTTAATACATTACTATAGTATACGGTAATGTTAATATTGCCGTTTCATCGAAATTATGACTTGTATAGTTTTTTTTTTATATATAGATATCAGCATTCAGCAATAGAAATAAAGAAAATAATGAGAATCATAGGTCATTCTAGACTTTTTGAATGTGAATAAATTGAAGACCCATGTGATTTCAAATTATAATATTGTGAATCTTTACATCTTTATATTTTCAATTTGAATATAGTCCTCTTTGTGTAGTCAACCCTACATCAGCTAAAACTGAAAACAATATGTGTATCGATAGTTGCGTTATAAATTATTCATAAAGCAATATTTTCGTGATTAAAATTTTTATCTATATTCTAGATCGATGGTTTTCCGAAATCGTATTTTTTCCCCTTCACAATTTACATTTCAATACTAAAATATTTAGTCGTAAAATGTTTACTCATAATTAATTTTCATGTGATTTAATCAAACTATAATATTATATACAATTTTATTTTTCGAACCACATATTGGTCATAATATCAATAATATTATGTTAGTATGACCCTAATTATTTCCGTATTCTATAAAACGGCGTTTTACTTATGCAATATTAGTACACTTGTGCATACGTGTGACACACTTGTCGGCCTCTAACTTTTCGTTTTAATATCTTTTGTACATAATTGCCTATTCAAGATTTGTTATTTAATTAGTTCTAAACTTCATTACTCGAACGCAAATGTAATCAATTAAATTAATCCTTCGAAACGATTTTTACTAAAGTAGGTTATTACATAATATTACAATTTATGCCAGTCAACAAAGTGTAAAATATATTATAATAAAATATCTATCAAATATTAAACAAACCATTAATAAAATTGTGATGTTATTGAAAGAATCAAATTATCGAAATAAGTCTAATATATTTTAAACAACAAAGTAATATTTAGTAATTTATTACACAATTAATAGGTACTTTTTTTTTATTATAAAAGATATTTACAATTTAT